AGCCTGATATCTGTCTTGAACAGAATTCCAGTGACCCTCCCTCCAGCTAAGGCATTTCTAACTCTTTCAAGTTAGAGACACAAACAATTACAGTATCCAAAATTATTTCCAATTGATATTATTCTCTCTCACATTCGTTAAAATATATAGATGTATTTTTAAAATATGCTTTGCTGGAATCACCGGAGACAAATCTCCCTCTTTTTTTTTTTTTTTTTTAAGAATGAGGTTTATTTGAGTTTTCATTCAAACCTTTTAACTTCAAGCCAAATGGAAATAAAAAAAAAAACACCCTAATTTGTACAGAAACTTGGTGTAGCATCATTTCCTATTCCACATGATCAAGAGATGGGCAACAGGGGAAGGAGATCCTAATGAAAGAAAAGGTAACACAAATGTTACCCGTCAGAAGTACAGCCCCAAAGGAAGAGGGGCACGCAGGCCTTTCCACTGAAAAAGGTAATTAATTGTGACAGATACCAATTCATAAGGAATAGGTCAAGGAGCATCAGCCAGGCAAGGGAAGTGACAGAACTCTACTGCCAAAAGATCAGACAACACTTTGGGTATGGGACAGAACCTCCTTCTACAAAGGGGCACAGCCCAGCAGGACTTGCTACTTCTGGTTGGCTAAAATAGCCCCAGAACATAAGTTCCTGTCTTTGCATTCAAAAAAATAAAAGAAAAAAAAAAGGAATACTTTTGTACACCAACTGCAGGCCTTTCCAACTGAAAAAGGTAATTAATAGTGACAGATACCAATTTGCAAGGAATAGGTCAAGGAGCATCAGCCAGGCAAGGGAAGTGACAGAACTCCACTGCCAAAGGATCAGACAACACTTTGGGTATGGGACAGAACCTCCTTCTACAAAGGGGCACAGCCCAGCAGGACTTGCTACTTCTGGTTGGCTAAAATAGCCCCAGAACATAAGTTCCTGTCTTTGCATTCAAAAAAATAAAAGAAAAAAAAAAGGAATACTTTTGTACACCAAAGAAAGTTATTATTGAATTTCCACAACATGAGGGAAGAGATGGAAAGTAAACAGATGGAAAGCTTTTTGTTGCTCTTATCACAGCTGGGGATCAGGAGACACGGCCCTGCATGCAATCAAGTGACAGGAAAAGAAATTTCTTGAAACACAAGAAATTCCATTTAAACATAAGGAAAAAAGAAAGGGTGCAAGGGTGACTGAAACACCAGAATATGTGGCCCAGCACCGTAGCGGAGTCTCCGCACTTGGCCATACTCAAAACCCAACTGCACGTGGTCCTGAACCACCTGCTCTGGCTGCCCCTGCTCTGAGCAGCAGAGCTGGGCTAGATGACATTCAGAGGTGCCTTTCAGCCACAACCCATTCAACAGTAGTTTTGATTTTCCTATTTTTGAAATACATTGTAAAGCTTTACTTTTCATATCCCTAGAATAGAGGCAGCTTCAGTTTGTCCACGAGAAGCTTCTTGAACCTACGGGTGCCTTAATCCAAGCAGCTTTGGCTTGTGCTTTCTTCAGCGGATACAGCTGTAAAATAAGTTAATTTGCAGATATTCCAGGCCCTGCACTTCAACACAAATTATACACCTATTGCAAGTTCATCTTTCAGGCGCAGTGACATATAGGAAGGGCGTGTGTGATTTTTTAAGTCAAGGACCCAGCCATAAACTGTAAGACTTAAGCTAAAGCAAAAGGAGCATCTCAAAAAACTTTGCAGACAGACCAACAGACAGACAAAATAATACTGGGTCCTGCTGAGCTATGCGACTGCTGAAGGAGCCAGACTGCAAAGTGGAAAATAAAATCAGAGCCAACCAAAGAAGCAAGCCAACTAAAGACTGGCTACTTTCCACCACCAAATGTCAGGTGAGAGCTAGAGGGATACATTTTAATAGACACCCATTCAAATTGGAGGGACAAATCTTCAGCGGATACAGCTGTAAAATAAGTTAATTTGCAGATATTCCAGGCCCTGCACTTCAACACAAATTATACACCTATTGCAAGTTCATCTTTCAGGCGCAGTGACATATAGGAAGGGCGTGTGTGATTTTTTAAGTCAAGGACCCAGCCATAAACTGTAAGACTTAAGCTAAAGCAAAAGGAGCATCTCAAAAACTTTGCAGACAGAGCAACAGACAGACAAAATAATACTGGGTCCTGCTGAGCTATGCGACTGCTGAAGGAGCCAGACTGCAAAGTGGAAAATAAAATCAGAGCCAACCAAAGAAGCAAGCCAACTAAAGACTGGCTACTTTCCACCACCAAATGTCAGGTGAGAGCTAGAGGGATACATTTTAATAGACACCCATTCAAATTGGAGGGACAAATATTCCTGGTAAGCTGGTACCTGTAGCCAAATCAAAGGAGCAGACATATGGCTGCTGCTGAATGGCCCAACAGGAGGGTTGGGAAAGCCCTACCTGCCAAAGACATGCAAGTGTAATTTACGTGGTGTTTAGTATTGTCCTAGCAAGCCCCAGTGAGTGAGAAACTGAAGTGCTATGACTCTAGGTGTTTTCTACAGGGGGTATTTGCCTCAGGAAGGAGTTTCCAAAGGATTATCTTAATTTGGCTCCAGTTGGAACTGCAATGTGTCTCTGCGTGGAACCAGAGCTGCAGAAATGGTCCAGAAAAGGAAACAAGAATGGTACATGTTACAGCAAAGGAAGGCTGCTGAGTTGACAAAAACTGCGTGCGTTTCCAAGAAGGATGGGAGTCTTTTCAGAGTTCAGGCTAATAATTGAAAATATTAAAAAAAACAAAGATAAGTTACACAGGAGAACATTAAATTATTGTCTAGAACTGGGAGTCTGACATTTTTTCTTTTGTCAGAGAAGGCAAAGGAATCAGGATGAAAGAGATATTGAAAGCAAAGTAAAGAACAGGAGTCTATCACAACCAGCTTGTTCATTTTTCCTAAATATGTAACACTCCTTAATCATTACTAGGAAACAATCATGCTTGCATAATTGTGACTTAAAACAACCCTACACGTAGAAAATGAGATATGGAAGCAAGCAATTTATAAACCAATTAGCATTAAATGAAAAGCTTGCAACTAACACAAACAGTAAAAGCACACTTAACAGTTAACCATCGAATACAAGATTTTAGAGACATACTGACTTTCTACAATTTTTAAGTGAAACTTCAAAAGGTAGTTGATGTGTACAGATAGAGTATACACATGCTGGCATTGTGTTCAATTCCCTTAAGATATAAAATAAAGAAGTGCTGGTCTTCCACTCCATCAGATGAAAGTAAATGGAAATGACATTCAGAAGTACACATTTAAATAAACAAACATCACAAATTCAGGTAAGTTGATGTCATGCTTACAGGTAGAATATCTAGTTGACATTCATGGCCCTAGGTTGTTCTTTATTACAAAGTTATTATTTTGCAGTCAAATCAGACTGCTAATACAATCCTGCAAGGTTGTTGGAATACTGAAATATGCAAAAGATAGCCCTTAAATTAAGAATTTAATTTTAGGTAAGACATAGGTTTTGATGCCCAAATTTAAACAGCATGTAAAGCCAATTCCAAAATTTTAACAAAGAATAAGATTCAGCATAGTAACCACTGAAGGCATGAAGTTGAGGCTTATTCAGGATGTTCTCAATCACTGAGAAAGATCTGACAAAGTTGAAAGAATGCTCTTTCCTGTAGTGCAGCCTGAAAGACTGTATTTTTTTCCCACTAAACTGTTCAGCAAACAGCCAACACTGAACAGACTTCAGGTTACCCTTTCATTAGTACTGAGTTACGTGGCGTGCAGGAGTGAGAGGAAAACTCGAAGGATCTATTCCATTGATCTAGTGCTATGCCCAACAGAGCTAGGGATGGGTATAATTTCAATGAACATCATTAGCTTGTGAAAGCCAACCAATTATTCTGCACTGCTTTTATATTTCTTCGGTGCTCAAAACACTGACAATTTGCCATCTTCTTTAGTCCAGTCTGTATTTACAATGACAAAAGGCAGCATGTTATTGCAAGGTTCTGCACCTGGGCCGGAACAATCCTCACCATCAGTACAAACTAGGGGGTGAGGTATTGGAAAGCAGCCCTGAGGAAAGGGACTTGGGGGTGCTGGTGGATGAGAAGCTGGACATGAGCAGGCAGTGGGCAGCTGCAGCCCAGAAGGCCAATCCCATCCTGGGCTGCATCAAAAGAAGCGTTGCCAGCAGGTCCAGAGAGGGGATTCTGCCACTTTGCTCTGGTGAGACCTCACCTGGAGTGTTGTGTGCAGGTCTGGAGACCTCAGTATAAGGAGATGGACCTGATGGAGAGGGTCCAGAGGAGGACCATGAGGATGATCAGGGGGTTGGAGCAACCTCTGCTCCGAGGACAGGCTGAGGGAGCTGGGGGTGTTCAGCCTGGAGAAGAGGAGGCTCCGGGGAGACCTAATAGCAGCCTTCCAGTACCTGAAGGGAGCCTACAGGAAGGCTGGGGAGAACCTGTTTAGAAAGGCCTGTAGTGACAGGACGAGGGGAAATGGCTTCAAGCTGGAGGGGAACAGATTTAGACTGGAGATGAGGAGAGGGTTCTTCACTGTGAGGGTGGTGGAGCACTGGAACAGGTTGCCCAGGGAGGTGGTTGAGGCCCCTTCCCTGGAGATATTCAAGGAGAGGCTCGATGAGGCCCTGGGCAACCTGGTCTAGTTGGGGGTGTCCCTGCTGACTGCGGGGGGGTCGGACTAGATGGCCTTTGGAGGTCCCTTCCGGCCTGGGAAATTCTATGATTCTATGATTCTATGATTTAGAGAATAAATTTGTGCTGAATGAAAGGTCATCGATTTCAAAGTGTTTCTTTTCTTTCTTTTTAATCCCTCTCTGGCAGGTTAAAAATCAAAGGCTGCACGTTTACACTGCAAGTTTGTCCCACTTGTGCATTGTATGTTTATGCTCTACTGACATGGAGTGCAACCCCACCTCCCCTCGGTTCAGCTTGATAAAAAGAGGTTCCAGCTCCCAGAGACCCATCTGACAGAGTTACTCACCAATAGCCTGAGCAAGGGCTATTACAACTTCCTGGCATGTTGTGACTTCGGTGACCCCGCACACGATTCTCTGGACTCCATCTACCCATACTTTGAGCTCCATGGTTCACCAAGTTATCCAAGAGCCATGAATGCGAGTCCCTCAAGTCATACTTGCAGCTCTATCGGAGACAACGCAGCAGACTCCGCTCAGCAGCTAGAAGAGAGAAAAAGGCTGGTGTTTATATTGGGGCATTACTAATTTTAAAAGTTAACAAATTGACCTTATCATGTATTGGGTAGAAGAGACAACACGGCCTCCTTTCTTTAAAAATATTAACAGGTATCAAACATCCCTTGGCTCCAGCAACATCTACTCATTCTATAGACATACCAGAAGTTTCATCACAGTTTATTTCCTAAAATATTAAAAGTTATTACAAAAAGAGCACCAAGAGAAATAGCATTAAACAAATTACATTAAATCAATCTGTAGTAAACTCAGAACAGGTTCCAGAAACAGGTGTCCCTCTTATCATAGAATCATAGAATTGCCCAGGCCGGAAGGGACCTCCAAGGGTCATCTAGTCCAACCCCCCCACAGTCAGCAGGGACCCCCCCAACTAGACCAGGTTGCCCAGGGCCTCATCCAGCCTCACCTTGAATATCTCCAGGGATGGGGCCTCAACCACCTCCCTGGGCAACCTGTTCCAGTGCTCCACCACCCTC